GTCAAACACAAGAATCATGCGAAGCGCCGATTTTTTTCAAACCAGATACTGCATGACGTTCGAAGCTTCAAATGTCATCAATCATGTGGTATTGTCATTTCGGTACAAGCATCGGCACAGTGTGTTATCACAATAGTGCTTTGAAAACTGCGTCGGAGCATCGGAGCCTCAGTATCAATCGTCCCATCGCTATTGATTTTAATGTAAAAAAAATTTTGGCTGTGGTAACTGTTTGTAAAATACATTTGTTATAGCAAGAAAAGCCAAGGAAATGTGTGAGTATGTGGTTTTGTTTAGTTATTGATAATGGAGATTACTCCATTGATTACATTATCTAGTGGCTTGATTCAGTGATCTCATTCAGTGGCTAATCTTTAATGATATGGTGTGGATCACAGTCACTCGATGCTGCTTAAGATGTTGATTCATGCCTCCCTATAATCCAACAATCAAAAACAACTTAAGTTGTTAAACAAATAAGACATTCACATTCACATGACCTGCTTCTGATTTTTTTTTTCACTCTGAACAATCTGATGAAGATCCAGTGCTAATGTAAGTGCTTCACATGTATTAACGTTACATTTGTAGTCCATGTTAAAAAATTTCAGTTTTATGATCGTGCTTTTTAATGTCTTATAATTTTGCCAGCACATGAAAATCCATAGTTATGTTCCTAATGCTTATTTCGAATGTAGTATTCCTGAATGCTTCCATGTCTTCCATGGTCCTACAGCTGCTCGCACACTTGCAGAAATTAGATGGTCTTATCCTTCAAGCAGATGTAAGTAGAGATTACTCAAATAAAATGTATTTGCAACATGTTTTATGTCTTGGTTCTGTTAGTGATGGGTGTGCTGTCTTTTTAAAAATTGTTTCAGGTATTCGCCACTCCATCTGATGTCCAGCGGTCTCTACATTTGCCAGAGAACACAATTTAAAATGCTTGGTATGTAAACAGTAAAGGTTTAGTTCACCCTAAAATGAACATTAAGTCATCATTTAGGCCTACGCTATGGAAACATATGGGTAGCAAAATTCAATTTGAAATGTAATACGCAAAATGGCAATGCAATATGTAAAATGGCAATGTA